CCACTGATTTCCATTTTCGGCGGTAAGGCCTTCTGAAGTGCGGAGCTAATAAATCGAGAACTTCCCATGAAATGGCGTGAGTGACTAGCCTCAAGCAGTTGTTCCTTGGGTTCTGTCGTCACGCTCCTGGGTCACTAAGACCGTCACTGATCCACCTCCCCTTTCAGTGGTAGCTTATTAGGTTACTAGTGTCTTGACATAGATACGTTTGAAGCGATTCCAGTATGTTGAAACCATCGACTGGGTGGTGGTTAGAAGCGTAGTGCTAGGTGAATATGGCAAATAGGTTGATGAGGTTGTAAATCTTCATGGAATGAGGGTGCTTGGGACACATATTACTGGGATAAATTGTTCATCTACCTCGATCAATCAGTCAGCAACAACGTGGAGCTTCGTACGTACATACATCAGTCCGAGTTGCCACACCACATTAGCATAGAGATGCAGTTGTCCATTCAAATCCCGTAGCAGTAGAGGTGGTAAGAGTATAAGCAGTAATCGGGAACATTGACGTTTAAAGATGTTATTCAAGGACTATAATACAGTGAAAGAAATTTAGAAAGAAAATAAAGGACATGAACAATCCAGAAGATTAGAATTCAGGAGAGCACGAAGAGTGGATGTACTTGCGCCATTGCAAACGAATTTGAGCCATTTCCTTCAGGGTCTCTAACCATCGGTTGCTATCATCTCGCGGTCCTCAACCAGGTAGTCTACACCTATCAATATGGCTCAGTCCACTTGTCAGTGACTTCATGGATTTGTGTCATGTTTTGATCTGACCGCCCCTAACTTTCTCCTAACCTACTCCTATACCGTAAAATATAGCACGTCGAGGCAGCCGGTGGATGGGCATACGTAACACGTGTCCCAGCCATCTCAACTGACGAAGTTTCACCACTTCATCAATTGATTTGCCATCCTTACCTAGTACCCGTTCCCTAACAACTGCATTACTTACTCCATGGTCCCAGGATATACGAGCAATATTTCGAAGACATCTATGATCAAATAATAGTAACCTACAAATATCCTCTACTCTTACCGGCCATGTTTCACTGCCATAAAGTAGGACGGAACGAACAGCTGCGCAGTAAACACGTCCCTTGGTTGATAGACGGATATCTCGCCTACGCCATAAATGACGCAAGTTGGCGAAAGCAAGCTAGTCGAGCCTTCTGTATCCGTGCTGAGATTTCGTTACACACCAGACCACAAGGATTGATGAGACTTCCAAGATAAGTGAAGCGGTCGACACGCTCAACTACTTCACTTCCTATCATTAGTTCGGGTGTCAATGCAACCCAATCCTGAAGTAACATTTTGCATTTCGAGGGAGAGAATCGCATGCCGAACATGCTTGCGTTTTTGCTTAGAGTGGTCAGAAGACTCTGCATTTTGTCAGCGTCTTCACCAAATAGAAATATGTCATCGGCATATTCTAAGTCAACAAGTGAATCTCCTGGTAGACGTTCAAGCCCTGAAAATTTAGATGAGGACTGTTATATCTAAAAGCACGTCAACGACAAAGTTCAACAGCAATGGAGAGAGTGGACAGCCCTGACGAACACCACTTGAGGTAATCAATTCTGATGACAGTTCGCCATAAGCTCTCACTCTACCAGTTGCGTTCGAGTAGAGAGCCTTTACAAGGTTAACGTACTTCTTTGGTACTCCTTTCAGTGACAAACACTGCCATAGAACCTCACGATCAACAGAGTCGAATGCCACCTTAAGGTCGAGAAATACTACCATTGTGGGGCGTCTGAATGTGTGTCTATGTTCTAGAACCTGACGTAGTGTGAATATGTGGTCTATACAACCACGTCCAGGTCGAAAACCAGCCTGGTTTTCTCTATTCTGCTCTTCACGAGCTTTAGTTAAGCGTCGAAGTATTATTGAAGCTAATATTTTAGACACTATATTAGTCAAACTGATTTCTCTGTGATTGTCATAAGAGGACTTTTGTCCTTTCTTATAGACTGGTACAATCAGTGATTGAGACCAGTCAAATGGGATTACGTCCAGTCCCCAAATTCTACCTAAGACTTCGGTTAATCTCATTGCTAATGCTGAACCACCATCCTTAAAAATCTCAGGAGTAAACCTGTCAGGGCCTGCTGCTCTCCCTCGCTTCAGATTTTCCACAGCTTTTTCAACTTCGTAAAGAGTCGGAGGACCTACATTAACTTGCCATTCGGGTCGACTGGAGATCGTGGGAAGCCGAAGTGTGACTGAAGGCCAGTTGAACTGATCCCTAAAGTGTTCTGCCCATCGATCCAATCTCCTGGATTGAGAATGTACAATATGTCCATCTTTCTCTGAGACTGTTTCGCTAGCAGTCGGGTTCCTAATACTAGTTTCCTTAACAAGTCTGAACAGCTGTCTGCTATTACCTATTGCCGCTGCCTTTTCCATCTCTCTTGCTTTCGCTACCCACCACTGTTTACGATCATTGCGTAGGCATCTTGTCAGCTTGTGCTTAAGCTGACTCCTCTCTTCATTATGTTCAGAGCCAGATGGGGTGAGTTTGCGAGCATCTATCAGTGCGGTAGATGCTGCTGAGATCCAGTGTTTCTCCCTAACCTTGTGGTTTACCGTACTAGCAGATACCACTGTTGTTTTCACAGCTTTTCGGATATCATTCCACGCTACCTCGAGGTGAGCATCACATAAATGGCTGCCTAACTGTTTTTCTAGTTGTTCCTGAAATATACTCTTAGCCTATCATTAAGTATGACCCTTAGAGATTTCCTTGCAGCGTCTTTCCTACGTCCAGTAAGATGCAGACAAATACGCGCTCGCACTAAAGCATGATCTGAATCTAAGCATGTACTCCAGAATGAGCGACAGTCTTCTATCGAGCCCCTCCATCGGTGGCTGATAGCCATGTGATCTATTTGGGTCCAACGTTGGGACGAATTAGGGGGTCGCCATGTCAAAAGATGCTTTTTCTTATGCTTAAAGCTTTCTGTAAAAACTCATTTTTTTACACTGTCTGAGCTGCAGTCAATGCAAGAATAAGTACAGACGACGAAGAAGCAACGACGAGTGTCCCTATCTTTCCGAGTCCTTAATGTTCCGCTTAGTCGGACAGCGCACAAACAACTGTCTACTGGGATCCAGTATAAGAGAGCCAGTTCTGCCCTAGGACTCAATGCTATACCTACGCCGGAGAGGCCACGGAAAGCAGCATCGGGAATTTCAGATACACGAAGCGTAAATCGAGTTAGTTCGTTACTTTGATATAGTGAGGTCAAGTGAATGACGCCACTCGGATCCTGTTTGCGCGTTTCAGAGACGCAGCATACATCGATGGCGCGAGATTCTAAAGTCCTAGCTAAGGAAGCCTGTTGTCCTATTTGGCACAGTGTTCGGACGTTGAAAGCTAATACGTGTAGTTTAGAGCGTGGTTTCAGGAGACCAGGAATAACGTTACGCGTACTCGAATAGTTTGCCCTAGCAGTGCGAGGTCATAAAGGGATGTGAGAAGGATTAGTCGTAGGGATAAGAGCGGTATTAGAAGCTGTAGGAAGGATTTGAATGTGACCAACCCGGTTTCATGTGCTGTTAAGGGTATGAGGGCTGATGTCACTTTCCGGCTGCCCACACCGTGGAAGGGTATTTCTTGAGGAACCTGGAAAGTATATCGGATTAGTGTTGGCCTTAACGACCTGGGAGCATGACCGTAGAGTCCAAAGGACAACTGCTTGAGGCCGGTCGCGCACGGCTTTTTCGTGGGAGGTTTTTAATGTGTTAGCTCCGTTCTTCAAAGGGCCTTACAGCCGGAGACGGAAATCAGTGGGGTAAGGTGAGGTGTGACATTTTTAGGGTCAACCTTTTATAATCCCTTCCTTCCTTGTGAGAAGGCAGCATCGCTGCAGATGCTGGTTGTCCGAAGGAAACACCTTACTGCTGTCACACCTCTCTACAGTTAGCAGTACGACTTCGCCCTCAGACCTTGAGTTGCTGCTTTTAGTCTTACCGTTCTCCAATCGACCTGTCTGGCATGGTGAGACCTACAGGAACATATGTTCCAGCCAATATAGCTCGGTTGGGTCATCACGACAAGCAAGCCCGACCACTGTGTCAAGGTAGCAGCCACGATGTTTGTTAGTGTAGGAACAGGTTGGAAGGAAAATAGAGATGGTCAAAACCAAGACGTGATATTAACCCGTGTAGTGATTAACTGTTAATTTGAGCCACATTGATAGATATTCACTACACGGTTGATGTGCGTGCGATAATCGCGCTCAGTAGTCTAAAATGCTAGGTGGTATAGATCAGAATCAGTAACAATAGCACGGATGCATTAGCTCTTCAGTTTGTATGAAATCTTAGATTTTAAAATTATCTGACACTTTTTATTTCACAAATTCATTCATTCTTTTCGCCGTCCCGATAGGGTATAGTAGCTTGGACCGATGCACCGGATGGGATGGGTTCTGAGTTTTGAATAAAATAACTGCGGGAAAGTTATGTCCACTTCCACCTAATCAAAATGCGGTCGAGATGAATAATTCACGACATAGGAATTTTATTAAGGATCAGAAACTAGAATTACGGTTAAAATATAGTTAGCAGCTAGGAATAGAGACAAAAAGCCGAGTAGATGAATGCGTTGTAATTCCGTATAGAGGAAAACTTACGCAGTTAATTTTGAACACTAAGAACCTATAAACCATCCATTATAATTTCTGAATCCTGGTCTCTGTTCTTTAGTCTTCACATATTTACCAATTTAAAGCGTTTTAGTAGTAAAATATTGGTAGTATTTACTAAGCGTTTAACAAGAAATAAGCTACTCGTAATTCCGTTAAATGTTTTTACAAGAATCCAATAGGCGCTATCTTAAATCTTACTGGTACATCAGTATGGTATACTAGTAATATCTGAGCTTATCAATAAACATTTACTAGGCAGAATATCCCCACTCCTATCACTTAATTTTCAAGACTCCTTAACACGTTATATAATAATATACTGGTTTCGAAACTTACCATCATAACAGGTTTCTTCACCACAGTAGATTCCATCAATTTGAGCATAAGCTGACTGAGGTGTAAGTGATAGGATAAGGATGATTAAAAACTTCGTAGAACGTTCGAAATCTGTCAAATAAAATGGCATGCCTATTTTTTTAAAAATAACGAAATACGTTTTAACACTCAATATAGCTCTTTATTCTTAAAACAATAAGATCTACAGGTTGTTCACACTAAAAATATAGTTCAATAGTATACATAAGCACAAAATTGGATGAATACATGAAGGTTCTTAGTTATGATAATCTTGTGAATTTCCGTATGAAATAGTTTGGTAGCAGTTACATCACTAACAGAAATATTGAAAGTGAATACTGTCCTAGCCACTTAAACCAACACTGAGACTAGGTGGATACGTTCCATTTCAGTGGTCTTGAGTGTTGTGTTAACGTTCTCCTCAATGATATCATAACTTCTGAAGTGAGTAGCGATAATATAAATGTCACATGAAAAACAACTTCGATTGACTCATTTTACTGTACATAAACAATATAGACTAATACGTAAGCATAATACATTCCCTTTATTATCGAACTGTAACGTACTTGTGCAGAAAATTAATATAGATTCAGACCACTTAATGAGTACAGGTTTACGTACACTGCTCTGAACCACAACGTTTAGTGATAAGGCTAGTTACGCTGCTTCCAAACGCTCTGGTATGGTTGAATTATTATTATTTGAACATAGATATTGGTGAAAGGAGGCACCAAATACATATGCGCCACACAAATCTCATTTGATTTGTGTGAGGGCTGTGATACTGACTGGGTGCTTAAACCGAAGCAGGTGGTTTTCTTAGAGGGCAACACCCGGAGCCTTCGACCTGAAGGTCTGTTCCACAAGACAATGGAGCAACATCAGAAGATGCAGTCCCATGGTAGCCGGTGACCAACGATTGGTTTATACGCCATTTGTTCCCTCAGGATACTGGAGCTCATGTGCACCACTGGTTTCGAATCAGGGTTTTCCAACTCCCCTAGGTGGACTCTCCATGTCCACCAACCCGGTTAAAGCGCCGGACATCCGCTTTCCGTCCTCTCAATTTCGTGAACAACACCCCCGCCACCAGAAGGCAGTGAGTAGGACTTCCCTGGCAGAGGCTATATACGCGTGGCCATGTGAGAGCATTTCGAGAGAGTGAGCGGACTCTCCCCACTCTCGGACGTACCAGGGCTTTTGGGGGAGTGTGAATGTGGGGAAGGTCCGCACTCACACTCAAAATACTCTCACATGACTGCTGGGAAGATCCAGAAAACTCCTCGGCAAAAAAACAAGAAAGGCTCTGAAAACACTGAGAAGCATCTTATCCAATCAGGGCCCACCAGAAGTTGTGCCAGAAACATCTAGGTATTTCTAGATGTACAGTTATAACTGTGAATTGTCTGTTGATTGTCACGGCGACTGATGGATGACAAGCGACTGCTTATCAACATAATGGAAGATTACTAATCATAGTGATGTGGAAAAATTGGCTTGGTCGTGCAATTAATTCACAGTGAAAAAAGACCAGTTACTAATACTAAACTAGTGGCATGCTTAGACAAATTGCGAGTATAAAACACAAAAGTTTCATCTTTTTCACTGTCAAAGACAATATATTTCACTTTGATGGGTATTTGCTGAAGGTTCTAAACACAACACAACATCTCACCTGGACCGGGGAGTAACGTCCCCATGCAACAACCCGCGTTAGTTTGTAAGTTTTGTATTCAATATGTTTCGCGATAATCAACGACGCTTTCGATTTATGTAATAACAGGAGGATGAAGTGTTAGAGGGACTGTGGTGAACCTGGAGTTTTTCTAGACAAATGGGATTTCAAGATTATGATTTTTTTATTTATTCGTGTCTTGATGCCATACATGTCTCATGCCTCACTCCTATAATACACTTTCTGCTTCGCGTGTATAGAACGTGATAAATCGTCTATCGGTTTTCCTCAAGGATGGTGACTGATGGGGTTTTATTAAGTATCATAAGGTAGTCACATGCTGGATGGTGGTCTCTTGTTGTACATTAGATTTCTATAATTTTTTTATGTTAAAAATATAGCACTTCCATTAAAAATTTTCTGTTTTCAGAGTAAACGAAAAAAGCTTAACTGCCTCCCAAATCTAATTAGGCGTTATAACGAGAATAATAGTACGACAGCTAGGGCTTTGAAACTGTTTTCAAACTGAAATTATTTGTGTTTTGTTGCGCAATCAATGAGTAACCAGAATAATGTTGTTACGTATTCCGTTTATCACGAGCTTGTGTTTGACCTGTAAACTGTAATTGTTCTGTCTCCATTTCCTATTTCACTGTCATTTGACTTTTCGTAGCATGACTGCTTTCGGCTCGTTTATGTATATTCACTGTTCCCCATTTTACTGTACTAAGCGCTCCGTTATATGTGTTTCTATGCCCATTTATGTTTGCAGTGTGAAAACAGAAGCTGGCTGCTCACTTTCTGAACTCAAAGCAAGTCAAAGAAGGGAGCTAGCAGAAAGATGCTTAGATGCGTCTGCTAAAGATCAGCAGTGCTAATCAAGCCCGTAAACGGTCAACTTTGCGGCACTAGACTATTCAAGAAGCAGGCTAGGAATAAATATAGCTAGATGCAAGACGCTACAGTATGTTAGACTTGAAGAAAAACCGATGGGACTGTGTCGTTCTAATTAAACCAGTTACATGATTGTGGATCAGATCTACTAAATAGATACTACTGCTTAAACAAAAAAGATAGCTCATCATATCGATAGCAAAAGACTACTTATGAAGCTGGCGAATCTAGGAACTAATTGACCAATCTCGAAGCAGAAAATAAGATGGAACGTTGCAAATCGATGTGAAATAAGTGTATAAACCCGATCCATGCAGCTCGACCGAAATATGAAAGTAGTCGGCGTGACCCACAATCATTCATCCACTGAGACTTTCCACATATGTCAAGTACAGAATAAGAACGCACCCTTGCATTACCGATATAATTATGGTAGGTAGTGGGTCTCAAATGACGGAAGCCATGACTGATTATTTCCGTACGGTCTTTACCCTCTAAAGTCTCTTCTCGAAGAGTGAATAGACCAAAAGGTTTTACCAGGTCGAGACGACGTAATAAATGCCCGAAACAAGTTCGACATGCAAAAACCGACAGGATCAAACGAAATGTTTCCCAAAATTTCGCGACAAATTAGCTAGTATATTGTGACCCCGCTGACCACAATACTAAGATGTCACTTGGCCACGGTGAGCTACCTACGTACTGGAAGGATGTATCTGTTCATCCGGTTCATAACACAGGATAAAGACAACTTCTACCAAACTACAAACCGATCAGCCTCACCAGTGTCCTCAGTAAGCCCATTTATGACCGTTGTGGAAACCAACAACGTGTTGAAGCAACACATCTGATAGGACGCTTTACGACGGACTACCGCTGAACCTGGAAAATCTGGGAATTGACGGACCTCTTCCAGATGGATCAAAGATTCACTTATATAATGACTATAAGCTTAATAAGTTGAGAAGCATTTTGTGAACCAATAGATGTTTTAATTTATAGATCATGCCTGTAAAAATGGCGTGTACCTGCACACGCAGAAATATATATTATTAGTGTATTATTATATTCGTGACGAAAGCACCAAAAGCATCCAGAATAAACACACAGTATGGCAATTAATTTCGGAGTGCTTGGTGCTGTTGATCTTTTGGTCACTCCACGATTCAGAAAAATTAAAATGAGTCCAGATAATTATGTGGCTGTCATTGTATTAACTATCTTAAATGACCTAATGATTACAGAAAATTTATAAATGAAACTAACTGTAAGCTTCTGTGGTGTTATCCTTGTTGTTTGGCAATGGAACTCGAAAATTGGAAATTAGGCAGGGAGTGAACGGAAGAAAAGACATTACGAGATAGTGCAGAGTTTAAAACAGAATGAGATGTTAAGTGAAGAAAGAATATCAAGAGTTAGGTCCAGATAACTATTCAGTCCTTGCTTACGTTGTCGTTAAATGAATGTTTACGTTATTTACAGGTCATATGTGCTAGAGCTTGGTGTTTAAACTAGTTTATTTCTCTGAAGCATGTAAATGCTAATAAGGCTTTTTAATGAACCGTTAAACCTAAATAATATAGACGATCAGTTATTAGTATCGGTTGAGTTAGTATGTTATGAGTACTGATCAATATAGTATTACGATAATACATGTGAGCAATAATCAGAAGACTTTTAGAATAATGGGTTTACATAAGTACAAATCGACCAGGAAAGGAAAATGAGGATTATTAGTAAGTTGTTGCGTTTCTTAATTCGGGCTCAACAATGTAGAATTATGGTCTACTTTGATACTGATACTGCTCCAATGAGAGACCTAATTCTAAAATTTTAGGTTGTCATGATGTAACTGCCTAATCTATAAGATCTTACATGGAAGTCACATAATTATCTACCCTGATTCATTCGTATTATAGCAATCACCAATACATGACAAAAACCACTGGAGGTATAACAATATATTTAATATGGATAAAAATAATGTCACATTAGTAAGACCATTCCTACAAGACCGAGCCATACCATTCTATCAAATGAATTTCGAATCATTCTTCCTGCCTTTTCCATGGTTGAGTTTTTCTCTGTGTCCTCTGAACACACGCGCTTTTGAAGGTTGTAACTTTTTTTCACGTGGTATTATTTTATTTTCCTATTAGTTATTCTCTTTAATTTAACACTTAATAGCGATAAATAATTCGTCACTGATAAGGTTCTATCAACTTGACCATTCATTTTGGAACTTAACGTCATACATTAATCTTGCTAGTTTTAACGCTATCTCTATCACCAATTAACGTTAATATATTTACTCTTAACTAGTACTGGATCTGATCCTACCATAGAACCTTACACGTCCATTAAGTTAAATTATAATTGTCCCCGTCCACCTAATTAAACCTTATATTTACATTACTTCCAATAATGTCCAGGCCATCTAAAAAAACATATAATCTCACCTGATGCCTATAGCACCTGCAAAAGACCTAAATCAGTCACTAAAACGAATGATTTGAAACCTTATAAACACACTGATTAGTCTGCATCCTACTCTGATCTTCCCTCAGTTACACTAAACGTGCACCCTTTACGTGGACAAGGCATATTACCACCTTGTATCTCGCTTGTAGATATAAATAAGAGAAGTCACATACCGTTAGAGTCGACATCATCTGTCAGTTCAAACAAAAGCATCACATTTGAGCAGTATTTAGACAGTGCGGCTGACCCCAAACACTCAACGATCTCACAATCGGCCATCCTGAGTAGCGGCCCACGGAGTACATGTAAGCCTGCCTGCAATAGCCAGCCCGATGATGTAGATCTCGACTTCTCAGCCAGACATATACCCCATCCCCCGACTAAGTATGCACAAAGTGACCACCCGGTAGACACCTGCAACAGGTCTGTATGTAACCATATCGACCTTAAAAACTTTGATATAAACTCCGATAATCTCACCACTGGTAGATCTAAAAGCAGCCAAACAGAACTCAGCCTCACCCAAACTATCCAAGACTTGTTACCGCACAAATATTTAATAAGTGTTCCAGAAAATCCTGATCTGGAAATTGTAAAAAACTCTGAAAAAGTAATTGACCACATATCAACTGAAGTGTTGAAAAGACTCCATTGTATGCAGAATGTCATTGTGTATAATATACCTGATAGTGTGAACGTAAAGATTGCTAAAAATACTCTACTACAAGAATGTGGATTGTCGCAATCTTGGTGTGTAACAAGAAGATGACGTAAAGCACACACTAAAGCCTCCTGTCCTATTCTATTTCAGTTTGGTAGTACCACTGAAGCTAATCACCTCCTCAATAGTCAGTCATTACTGAGGCGTATTCCAACATTTAAAAAGATTAGGATCATTCATGACAGGACTGCTATCCAGCGTCGAATCTGCAATGGAACACAAACTGAACAGAAACACCTCTCTTGGCAACAACAGTCATTCCTTCATTCATTACCAGAAACATACAACCCCCCAACTAACCACAACAGGACTAAAATTGCCCACCACACACAAGGAAGCCATAACGTTGGCCTACTTGGGAACCCACCTACTGATTCTAGGTACTATCTAAGTCAAGCCACCCAATACAACGGTTTAGTCCCCCCTAATTCGACATACACACTATCTCATCCTTTTTTATCTCTCTCCCCCTCAACATTACTGCTATGGGGTCTCCAAATGTTGAGGGCGACAATCTCACTATTCTGAAACCATCTATATACTCCTACCTAATGGAGAATGATACATCTTTCTCAACGTTGATAACTATCTCTAGATCAAAAGCTCCTTGACTGAACCTCCTAACCACTCCCCGAATGCACTATCTATCCACTCAATCCATTCAACTCTACCTTTCACTCTTAAACATACTTCTTTCACCAAAATAACTACCAACTACCTTTCTCGCATTAACCCTGTTGGTAATAAACTGAACGCTCATCAATATGGAGCCAACATTCTCAATTCTTCCGTTTCTCGTGGCGAAACAGACAATCCACTGGGTTTACATCATACCCTTCTACTAGACAAACAGTCACCGTACCTGACACTTATGTTAATCAACGCTCGATCTGTACAAAGTAAGATGACTTACCTACGCACCCTATTAC